AATAGAAAGATATATACAGAGAGCTCAAAGTAAATATAGCTCCAAGAATATCAGACATAAGCTAAATTTTTATAAAATAAACAAAGAAGAAATCACAAAAAATATTTAGAGCATTTGCAAATCTGATTATAAAAAGAGAAGATATACTATAAAAGTGAAAAATAACACAAATATATTTAATTCTGAAAGATATAGATTGGAGATATTATTTAAACAACATTAGATCAATAGCATTAATTGAAACTTTTAGAAAAATTGTTACAAAAATAGTAATAAGAAGACTAGCCAGAGTGTTTACAGAAAAAAACATACTCAAAGGTTCAAATTTTGCAGGTCTTTTAGACAACTCTTTAGAGCAACTTATACATATACTAAATATGAAAATGGTAGAGACACAAAAGAAGAATAAAAAAGTTTGGATACTATTACAAGACATGAAAAAGGCATTTGACTCAGTCCTACTAGAAAGCCTAGAATTAGTATTAAAAAGAGTTAAAATAGTACAAAAAACAAAATAATATATAAGCAACATATTCTGTAAACAGAAACTCAAAGTTATTACAGCCTATGGCTTAACAAAAAAGATAACTGCAAGAGATGAAATAAATCAAGGAGAGGTGATCTTGCCACTAATTTGGCATTTCTTCTATGATTCACTATTAGAAAGAATATAAGAAATGAATTACTAGGCTATATAATAAAACAAAAAATGGTAAAAAAAATACATAGTAACAATATTACAAGATATAGACAAGTGGCAATCATATATGCAGATGATATAACATGGATAGCAAATAGCAAAAAGCAGATATTAAGAATTCTGAGTATAACAAAAACATTTTTTAAGGCAAATGATATTGAAATAAATGGATTCAAATTAAAGCTTATAATAATAAATATGAGGGTTAAAAAAGATGAAAGAGAAATTATTTTTGGTTATAGCAAGATAATAGAAGAACCCAAAAACAAGATTGTAAAATCACTAGGGATCTGGCTAAATAGCAAAATAAAAGAAATGCTATTATATAAGAAAACAAAAGAAATAGTCAGTTAAACAGTCAAAGATCTAAAATACAAAAAAATAACAATGGGCCAGATTGTATATATAAACAATGCAGTAATAATCTCCAAACTAGGGTATTTCTTACAATTAACAAAAATGTCAGAAAGGATGATTGATAAAATACACCAACCATTAATATGCTTGGCTAAACATAAATACAATATGATGAAAACATCAAGCAATTGCACAATTGAATACAAAGACCTAGGCAATTGCAAATCACTAAGCCAAAAAATAACAACTAAGCAAATTAGTAGCATTTTCTCAAGACTTAACAGACAAGATAGTCTAGATGAACTAACAAGACTTAGAATAGCTTAAGGATGTCAGAAAGCAGGCCTAACAAAAGACATCTGGTATAATGAAAATATATCAGAAGTTAAAAAGTTCTAGAAGAATAATCTAGTATGTTAAACAATAGCTAAAGTAAAAGAAATAGAAATAAACATCAAAGCAGCAAAATGGCTATGAAAAGTGTACAGATATAGTAGACAAATAAAAGATATACTAGAAATAAAAACATAAATAGTAAGCAGTAGCATAATAAATGAATAGAAATTATTATATATAAATCAGCTAATAAATATAAAAGGTGATAGCTTAATCATATAGAGACAGCTCAAGAGTCTTTAAGATTTATTATGTAAGGGAAAGAAAGCCAAATGGTTTAGTGAAATAGAAAGAAAGATACTAAAAATACAAGCAAGCAAAGAAATACAAGACTAATACAAAATAAACAACTATAACATACTTGCATTAAAAATTAAGTGAACAAAGAAAAAAGAATAAATCGTACATAGACCAAAACACAACTAGCAACTTAGCAAAATAATTAAAAAAAAGAAGAAAAAAGTATTAGCAGAGTATTGGCTAATATATAAAGAAAAAGAAAAAATACATACAGAAATAAGTTTGTATAAAGATTGTAAAAACAGATCAGAACAGACAACAGACAAGTGTGAAAGATAAATAAGACAAAACCAAAACATAAAAGTGGTTCAAGAATTATTAATAGAAAAAATAAACAACAAGATAAATGCAACATTGGAGCAATTATTAGAAAAACAAAAAAAATAGAAAAATAGTAAAAAGATAAAATAGAGTTATTAGAATTGAAACTGGCAGAAGAATTAGAAATAAAACTAATCAAGAAATAAGAGTTAAATGGTATAATTATGGATTAGTTGACAGAAATTCTAATATGAAAAGACAAAAAAAAATACATCATCTATACTGATGAGGCATTATATAAGAGAGAAAAAAAAACAATATAGAAAGAATAAGTATTAATTGGGTACAAGTAGTTGATGAAGAAGACTAGCCAAAGAATAATACAGTATTTGGACTCAAGGGTTGGCCATCAGCAACAATAGCAGAACAAGAACAATATGGGTAGCAACTTTAACAATTCTAAAAAGAAAAAACATAGAAATATATACTAATAACATTACAGCATTAAGAAACATTAACAGAGCAATCCAAAACATAGAAGATGGAAGTACTATAAAGAGAAAAAATACAATGTAGATAATGAACATTGTAGGTCTTATCAAAAGCAAGAACATAAAGACAGAAATAGTTAAAGTTAAAGGCTATAGTGAAGATAAGTGGAATGATAAAGCAGACTCTCTTGCAAAAAAAAAAAGCAACTTGTGGAAACCTAATACATGTAGAAAAGGTTATATATAATGGAATAGAGTATCATCTAGAGTGGAAAAATAAGAAAATCAATATACTAGCAAGACTTTTGTGTAAAATAATAGTGAATACCAGAATTGGAGCCAATTGGAGAGAAACAAATTCAATAAAAGTACTAGAACCAGAAATGGAAAATGCATAATACAATTGGACAAGTTTTTGAAAAAAAATAAATAGAATAAGAGGAGTTCACTGTATATCAAGAAAACTTAGTACAAGAAGAGCTACAGCAGTTAAGTGTATAATAGACAAACTGCCAATACTCAAAGAATTAAACAGAAGAAGTCCAGAAATATATACAACAGCAGAATGCCAGGTATGCCAAGTTGGAAAGAAAGAAATACAGACATATCTAGCAAGTTATAGTGAACAAAGAAGTTTGTGAAAGCGAATTCAAAAAGTTGCAACAGTAGTAGCATGAAATGGGCTCAAAGAAGAAGAGAAGAACAGAATTCCAATATGAGTTCTATATGAAATGCTATTTGGAAAATCAGAAGCTGAAGAAATCAAAAACAGTGAAGTGCTGATAAAAGGACTTATAAAGATAAAAGTAGAAAAGAAACTCAAATAAATTTTAAATAAGCAGACAATACAGAAATGCATGAACATAGTAATGAATACAGTATGGAACACCTTTTATAACCAAGTATAGAGAGTTTGATGTGAAAAAACACAAAACTAAGAAAAGAAGACTAATATAATAAACATGATGAAAAAAGAAGTTTGTATAAAGAAAAAATAAATAAAGAGAAGAGAAAAAATCAGCAAACAAGAGAAGAAAAAAAAAAGAAGAATAGAGAAAGCAAACCAAATGAAGAAAGAAGCTTTGAAGACAATCAATATGCTTGTTACAGAAAGAAAAAGATCTTTCTAATATGGCTTTAAGTAGTTAGATGAGCAGTTTATCTCTAACTGAAATAGTATAATAGGTTGCATTTAGGTACTATAAGGGTGGCTAAATAATGCTAGACTTAGGTATTGGGAAATTCTATATAATTATATATGTATATAGTTTCAAGAATCTTAATAAAGTACTAACATAATTGCTTAAGGTTAAAAAAAAAAAATATATATATATATAATATAATCAATAAAAATCTTAAATATATAATAATTGAAAATAAAATTAGCTTTATTTTAAAGTTAAGTATTAGCAAAATAGAGTAATAAATCCATCTAAGAAAAACTTTTTATAGTTAATTAAAGATGGTTATCTATAAGATTTTATATTAAATAATAATACAAAACTAAAAACATTAAGCAAAAAAATTTATATAATCTTATTACAAAACCAAAAAAAATATCTTATGAAAAAGCTTTTTGTTATTACTGTATTAGGATTATAGTATTACAAGTAGGTTAGATTTAAAAAAATTATAATTATATCAAAATTTTACAAAAAAAATATTTTGTTAATATGCAAAAAACAGTTTTATTGCCAAAATTTTAAGTTATGATAATTTTTGAATTATTTTAGTTTTTTGAGTTTTTTTTATACTAAATCTAATCTTAAAATTTGATTAGTTAGTAAAATTATTATTAAATAATAATTAACTATTAGTTAATTAGTTATTGATTATCATATAATCAAGATTTTTTATTATTAGTATATATATAATTATAATATTTATATAAATTTATTATATTGCATATATATATAATATATAAATGATTTTATTTCAGAGCCAGGTTAGCAATAGTCATAGTTAATATTTAATAAAATTAGTATAATTGAAAGCAAAAACTTTAGTGTAGTTAGTTTACTTAAAAGTAAAAAAATATAACTAAATATAAGTTAAAAAAAGTTAAAAAGTATTAAAATATAAAAGTTTGTTATATTGAATAATTATGTACAGATAAATTTATAATATTTTTAAGACAGAAAGTTTAAAAAAAAGTTTAATTAAAAAGTTAAAAACTGTTAGTTTAACAAAAATGTTAAAAAAAGTTTAATTGTTGTTAAAAGAATGTTAGTTTAAGATCTACAGAAAGAGTTAGATGATTAGTATTCATGTTAATTTTTTTGATTTTAAATATTGTATTATATAATTCTATAAATTAAAATCATATTTATATGCAAATGTAAAGAAATTTTCTATATTTTATATATTATAAATTTAGCAATTCATGTTACAGTATAATAAAGTACAAATATTATATACTAATATTGTAATATATTAATAAACAAATCTAATATAGATTGTACTATTATTTTAAAGTCAAATAATTTAAAGAAAACCTAATTAGTGCCTTCATATTTGAGATCTAATTCCAAAAAATTTAATTGTTGAAAGATTTCTAACATTGAAGGACGCTTATTTGGTTCATGATACCAACATTTTGAATAGAGATCTATGTATTGTACAGGTGTTCCAAGAATTGGTTTTTCACGTAAGCCTTGAATAATTTTCAATGGAAGAGATGCATCATAACCTTGATTGCCAAATGGAACATTTCCATTGCTAGAAATCTCCCACATTAACACGCCTATACTATATACATCAGATTTTTTATTATACCGATACCTTGAATCACCAAGTTTACAAGGATCAATAAAAGGAATTAGTCCATAAAATTTACTATTGGTTACTGTTGCAGTATTAAGATTTTTTGAAAATCCAAAATCTGAAATTTTAACTTCTTTCTTATGAATAAGAATGTTCGCAGTGTGCTAAATTAAAGACAATGTTAATTATAAAAGACTTGAAAAAATATCAATGCTTATAACAATATTTTATGCTTTACCAAATCACGATGTGTAATATCTATATCATGAAGATAGGACATTCCTTCAGCTATTTGTCTTGCCAGTTGAATTTTTTCTAACCATTCTAATTTATTATTTCGTAAATATTCTCGTAAAGTACGATTGTTTGCATATTCCATTACAAGATATGGTATTTTTTCTTTTTCATCTTATAAAAAAATTTTTTAACCAATATTTAGTCAATTTGCCAATAATGTTGAATTATAAGTAACTTACCAAAACTAATTCCATAAAATTTAATAATTCGCACATGACTAGATCTACTGAGTTGTTTTAACTAAAAAAAATATTAGATAACTAATAAATAACAAATATTATATAAATACTTAATCATATACCTCATTAATAAAAAGTTTTTGAGTCTTTTCATTTGTTTCTGATTCTACTTCTTTAATGGCCACATAACCTAATAAGCTGGATTTTGCTAAATATACTGTTCCGGAACCTCCACGTCCTATTCTTTTCTTCCTCTCCAAATTATTATAAGGTATTTCTTTTAATTTGTATTCTTCAATAATACTTTGAAACCACTTCTTTGCTCTGAATTGAAATAATTAAAATCCTATTATTTCTAATTAATATATTGAATTTAAAATTAAAAATAAATTAACTTTGTACTTACTCTCTTTTAAATTAAATATTTAATAATAAAATTTTATTTAAAATATATAAGTGAATTTTATAACAATAAATAAAGTAAAATATACTTACACCCTTTAGAAATAATAGTTATTTTTTTAATGATGAATTTTCATTAAAAAATGATCAGAAGTGATTTTATGCTCACCCGCTTTTTGATTATTTCAAGTATATAGTTATTTAATGATATATTTTTATTTAAAAATGAAATGAAATCAAACTTAACATAATTATATCACTTAGATGTCACATGATTAATGCTTTAGCAATATTATTAACCACTTCCCATGTTTTATACCTTTCATACATTTTGATGCTAATTAAATATTACAAAAGGCCTCAATCTGATCACAAGATTCTCATAAATGTATTATATTATAAATGATATGACAATTCAATCATACTTCTGCATATCTAGTAATTCATTGATCAAAATATTTGATATCCTCAATTCAAATCACTGAATATCTGACATATATTACAGCTCTTTCTTAAAAAAACTTTGTTTTAACATGCGATTATATATCTCATAACCAAGCGATCAATCAATAAATTTTGAATCTCTATTATTCTCATCAATAATAGAATAAACTATGATATTCCTCTTTATCCTTACATATTATGCAGTATCACAAGTGAACTATTATTATGTTATAACTATAAGCAAGCTTCTATGCATTATGTATACTGTATCTAAATACATTCCAAGATTATAGAAATAACTTTTAATCTATAAATGCATATTCTGAATGCTTATGGATTAACCAGTTTGTAGTACCAAGTAACATTCAACCTACGTGACATTTCGATGATGTTATAACCAATTTTAAATAAAAATGAATATTACTTACTCTCTTAAAAATTAGAACAAAGAATAAAATTATTTGGCAATGTACTTCATATTAATATATTCACAATAATCTTCTATTTAGTAATAAGAATAATACGTACTCACTAGATTTAACAGAATAATAAAGTAATGTTAAAGCGGTGTTATTTAATATAAAATATGATTGATTTAAACAAAATTTATACTTACTCTCTGGTTATTTATCAATTGTTTAAGAATTTTTATATTGTATTAGAATTCAAATGGCAAATAATATTTTATAAATAATTTCTATACTTACAAACTGCTAATTCTTATGCATATAAATAAACAAAAAATTATATATAATGAAAATTTCAATAAGCATTTTATAAATAATGTAGTTCTGCACTTACTTTCTAGTAATTTAACATAAATATGAATTAATATTTAGTGATGGATTCCTATAATACTGTCAATTCTCCAAGCGAACCTCCTTTAAAATTCTTGCCTAAGTATGTGTTTGATCTCTATAAATTCATTTTTTCTTATTGTTTTCTAAATGTTTTTCATTAAAATTCTGGTCCTAACGAATTGCACTTAGAGAGCTGACTGTAATAAAATTTAATAATTAAATACTCACTGTCTTATTTACCACAAGGAAAATAAAATTTCATTTATATATAATTATATTAACTACAAAATGTATATATTATGAATAATTATATAAAAAACATATACTTACTCACTGGTAGTTTAAAGTGAAAAACAGAAAGTAATTTTAACAGAAATTATATTGAGGATAAAATGTGTACGAATAAACTATATACTTACGATCTGGTAATTTGAAGAAGTGATATTTAACAGAGAATTATATTGACGATAAAATGTATACATTATATTACGAATAAACTGCATACTTACGTCCTGGTAATTTTAAGAAGTAATATTTAACAGGAAATTATACCGACGCTAAAATGTGTACATTATTTTATAAATAAACTATGTACTTACACACTGGTAATTTGAAGAAGTAATATTTAACAGAGAATTATATTGACGATAAATGTGAACATTATTTTATGAATAAACTATATACTTACTCACTGGTAATTTGAAGAAGTAATATTTAACAAAGAATTATATTGACAATAAAATGTGTACATTATTTTATGAATAAACCATATACTTACTGCCTGGTAATTTGAAAAACAGATAATTATATTAACGATAAAACAAGTGTTCGTTGTCTTATGAATAAACTATATACTTACAAACTGATAATTTGAAAAAGTAATATTTAACAGATAATTATATTGACGATAAAATGTGTACATTATTTTACGAATAAACTATATACTTACGTTCTGATAATTTGAAGATGTAATATTTTTAACAGAGATTCTATTGACGATAAAATGCGTACATTTTTTTTTATAAATAAAATATATACTTACGATCTGGTAATGTGAAGAAGTAATATTTTTAACAGAGAATTATATTGACGATAAAATGTGTACATTATTTTACAAATAAACCATATACTTACATACTGGTAATTTAAAAAAATAATATTTAACAGAGAATTATATTGACGATAAAATGTATACATTATTTTATGAATAAACTATATACTTACAAACTGGTAATTTTAAGTAATATTTTTGACAGAGAATTATATTGGCGATAAAATGTGTACATTATTTTACAAATAGACCATATACTTACGGACTGGTAATTTGAAGAAGTAATATTTAACAGAGAATTATATTGACGATAAAATGTGTACATTATTTTATGAATAACTATATACTTACAAACTGGTAATTTAAAAAATAATATTTAACAGAGAATTATATTGACGATAAAATGTGTACATTATTTTACGAATAGACTATATACTTACATCCTGGTAATTTGGAATAATGTTTATCAGAAAATTATATTGATAAGATGTGTACATTTTTTTATAAATAAACTATATACTTACAAACTGGTAATTTGAAGAAGTAATATTTAACAGAGAATTATATTAACGATAAAATGTGTAGATTATTTTATGAATAAACTATATACTTACGTCCTGGTAATTTGAAGATGTAATATTTAACAGGAAATTATATTGACGATAAAATGTGTACATTATTTTGTAAATAAACTATGTACTTACAAACTGGTAATTTGAAGAAGCAATATTTAACAGAGAATTATATTGACGATAAAATGGGTACATTATTTTATAAATAAACTATGTACTTACACACTGGTAATTTGAAGAAATAATATTTAACAGTGAATTATATTGACGATAAAATGTGTACATTATTTTATGAATAAACGATATACTTACAAACTGGTAATTTGAAGAAGTAATACTTAACAGTGAATTATATTAACGATAAAATGAGTAGATTATTTTATGAATAAACTATATACTTACTAACTGGTAATTTGAAGAAGTAATATTTAACAGGAAATTATATTGACGATAAAATGTGTACATTATTTTATAAATAAACTATATGCTTACATCCTGGTAATTTGAAGAAATAATATTTTAACAAAGAATTATATTGACGATAAAAATGTGTACATTATTTTATAAATAAACTATGTACTTACGTCCTGGTAATTTGAAGAAGTAATATTTAATAGGAAATTATATTGACGATCAAATGTGTAGATTATTTTATAAATAAACTATATACTTACATCCTGGTAATTTGAAGAGATAATATTTAACAGAGAATTATATTGACGATAAAATGTGTACATTATTTTATAAATAAACTATATACTTACGAACTGGTAATTTGAAGTAATGGTTAACAGAGACTATATTGCCGATAAAATGTGTAAATTATTTTATGAATAAACTATATACTTACATCCTGGCAATTTGAAGAAATAATATTTAACAGATAATTTATATTGACGATAATATGTGTACATTATTTTATAAATAAACTATATACATGCTTTCTGAAAATTTGAAGAAGTAATATTTAACAGAATTATATTGACGATCAAATGTGTACAATTGTTTATGAACAAATTATATATTTACTTTCTGGTAATTTGAAGAATAAAATATTTAAGAGAATTATATTGATGATAAATGTGTACATTATTTTATGAATAAACTATATACTCACTGCCTTGTAATTTGAGGAAGTAATATTTAACAGAGAATTATATTGACGATAAAATGTGTACATTATTTTACGAATAAGCTATATACTTACGAACTAGTAATTTGAAGTAATGGTTAACAGAGATTATATTGACGATAAAATGTGTACATTATTTTATATACTTACTGCCTGGTAATTTGAAGAAGTATATTTAACAGAAAATTATATTGATGATAAAATGTGTACATTATTTTACGAATAAACTATATACTTACTCACTGGCAATTTGAAGTGAAAGAAAAGAAGCAATATTTAGCAGAGAATTATATTGACAATAAAATGTGTACATTATTTTATAAATAAACTATATACTTACTCCCTGGTAATTTAAAGAAGTAATATTTAACAGATAATTATATTGATGATAAAATGGGTACATTATTTTACGAATAAACTATATATTTACAAACTGGTAATTTGAAGTATTGTTTAACAGAGAATTATATTGACAAAAAAATGTTTGCATTGTTTATGAACAAATTATATACTTACTCCCTGGTAGTTTGAAGAAGTAATATTTAACAGAGAATTATATTGACGATAAAATGTGTAAATTATTTTACAAATAAACTATATATACTTACTCACTGGTAATTTGAAGTAATGGTTAACAGAGAATTATATTGACGATAAAATGTGTACATTATTTTACGAATAAACTATATACTTACATCCTGGTAATTTGAAGTAAGATTTAACAGATAATTATATTAGCGATAAAATGTGTACATTATTTTATGAATAAACTATATACTTACAAACTGGTAATTTAAAGTAAAAAAATGAAAGTAATATTTAACAGAGAATTATATTGACGATAAAAAGTGTACATTATTTTATAAATAAACTATATACTTACAAACTAATAATTTGAAGAAGTAATATTTATCAGTGAATTATATTGACGATAAAATGTGTACATTATTTTACAAATAGACTATATACTTACTTTCTGGTAATGGAAAGTAATATTTAACAGAAAATTATATTGACGATAAAATGTGTACATTATTTTAGGAGTAAACTATAAACTCACGCTCTGGTAATTTGAAGAAGTAATAATTTTTAACAGTGAATTATATTGACGATAAAATGTGTACCTTATTTACGAATAAACTATATACTTACATCCTGGTAATTTAAAGTAATGTTTTATCAGCAAATTATATTGACGATATAATGTAAATTATTTTATGAATAAACTATATACTTACATCCTGGTAATTTGAAGAAGTAATATTTTTAACAGAGAATTATATTGACGATAAAATATGTAGATTATTTTACAAATAAACCATATACTTACAAACTGGTAATTTAAAGTAATATTTAACAGTGAATTATATTGACGATAAAATGTGTACATTATTTTATAAATAAACTATGTACTTACAAACTGGTAATTTGAAGTAATGTTTAACAGATAATTATATTGACGATAAAATGCGCACATTATTTTATGAATAAACTATATATACTTACATCCTGGTAATTTGAAGAAATAATATTTAGCAGAGAATTATATTGATGATAAATGTGTACATTATTTTACGAATAAATGATATACTTACAAACTGGTATTTTGAAGAAGTAATATTTAACAGAGAATTATATTAACGGTAAAATGAGTAGATTATTTTATGAATAAACTATATACTTACATACTGGTAATTGGATGTAATATTTAACAGAAAATTATATTGACGATAAAATGTGTACATTATTTTACGAATAAACGATATACTTACAAACTGGTAATTTGAAGAAGTAATACTTAACAGTGAATTATATTAACGATAAAATGAGTAGATTATTTTATGAATAAACTATATACTTACTAACTGGTAATTTGAAGAAGTAATATTTAACAGGAAATTATATTGACGATAAAATGTGTACATTATTTTATAAATAAACTATATGCTTACATCCTGGTAATTTGAAGAAATAATATTTTAACAAAGAATTATATTGACGATAAAAATGTGTACATTATTTTATAAATAAACTATGTACTTACGTCCTGGTAATTTGAAGAAGTAATATTTAATAGGAAATTATATTGACGATCAAATGTGTAGATTATTTTATAAATAAACTATATACTTACATCCTGGTAATTTGAAGAGATAATATTTAACAGAGAATTATATTGACGATAAAATGTGTACATTATTTTATAAATAAACTATATACTTACGAACTGGTAATTTGAAGTAATGGTTAACAGAGTTTATATTGACGATAAAATGTGTACGTTATTTTATGTACTTACTGTCTGGTAATTTGACGAAGTAATACTTAACAGAGAATTATATTGACGATAAAATGTGTACATTATTTTATAAATAAACTATATACTTACATACTGGTAATTTTTTATCAGAAAATTGTATTGACGATAAAAATGTGTAAATTATTTATGAATAAACTATATACTTACATCCTGGTAATTTGAAGAAATAATATTTAACAGAGAATTTATATTGACAATAAAATGTGTACATTATTTTATAAATAACTATATACTTACGAACTGGTAATTTGAAGTAATGGTTAACAGAGATTATATTGACGATAAAATGTGTACATTATTTTACGAATAAATTATATACTTACGAACTGGTAATTTGAAGAAGGAATATTTGACAGAGAATTATATTAACGATAAAATGTGTACATTATTTTGTAAATAAACTTTATGCTTACTGCCTGGAATTTGAAATAAAGAACAAAGTATTACTTAACAGAAAATTACAGTATATTGAAGATAAAATGTGCTCATTGTTTTATATACTTACTTTCTGGTAATTTAAAGTGAAAAAACAAAGGAAGTAAGATTTAATAAAGAATTCTATTATTTATGAATAAACTATTTACTTACTTGCTGATAATTTAAACAATTTAAAATGAAAAACAGAAAAATATTTAATAGAGAATTATATTAGCAATAACGATAAAATGTTAAGAATAAACTATACACTCACGAACTAGTAATTTGGCGCGTGAGTCAATAACAGAGAATATTTAATAGAAATTTTTATTATCAATAAAAATATTTAGATGTTTGTCTTTTTATAAATAACTATATACTTACGACATATTAATTTAAATAATAAATGAAAAATCAGCGAAGCAGAGCGAGAAACCTATACGCACATCTAATGCAGTTTATGCAACGAAAAAAAATCATTTTAGGCTCTGTGTCGTAGAAGAACATCCGTCTGATTGGCTGATGTAAATTACTTTTGGGAACACAACGTTTCCGATAAGGTGTTTGGTCAACATACTAAATCAAACAATTGTGTAGTCCCCTATCAAATCGGTATATTTTTTATATAATGTTATTGATCTGCATACTACATAAATTGTATTATTGATATCCATATATAAATCGTAACATTATCTGCATCAAAAAAGTACCCTTAACTTTAACACGGTTAATTTATTCTTGCAATTTAGCTATCAAGTTGTAAATTTATTAATTGATTGTAAAAGATAAGTACATTATCGCAATTTGCAAAATTATTGTCTCAAGGGTGTGATGACATCACTCAACAATCGCAATTGCAATCACAATCGTTCTTAAGTTTGTGCGAAGATATCTCGACAACCACTTGATTAATTTCAATAAATTTTTTTATTTGAATTTTATGAATCCATAGAATTCAAGTAAAAATAAAATTCATTGAAATTAATCAAGTGGTTGTCGAGATATCTTCACACAAACTTCAGAACGATTGTGATTGCAATAAGTGATGATCATCACCCCCTTGAGACAATAATTTTGCAAATCGCTATAATCAGTGCGTTATGACCAAACTCTCGTGTCAAAATTTCAATATTTAAGATATAACACAAGTTATTTACAAATTTATTCTTTTAAGTTATATAAATAGTTAAAAAATATTAGAAAAAAAAATTTAAAGTTCCCAAAAAAATCCACATGAAAAATTAAAATGCATACCTTTCTAATCTATTTTTTATTACTTTTATATTCGAATAACTAATAATGAAAGAGGAGTTAGATTTTGTCACGTTCATATAGTAAATTCATATTAATAGTGGTATCCATTCATGTAACAATACAATCATATAAAAAACTAGGTCTTTACATATCTTTGTCACAATTAGTATTAGTTGATCAAACACCCCAATTGCTGAATATCATTTCCATTTAAGGGGATGGCTAAAGCCATGCACCCACATGATTTTGATGTTTTATTAATAAGGAGTTGCGCAATGTTGTTGCGCGAAACCAGGAATGGGGAAAATCTATGCAGACTCCATTTCAGTTACGGGAATCCATATTCTTCATTGCAATCCATTCCTGATATAAGAAAATGTCTCTTTATAAAAGAAGTTGATAGTACTTGCAATCTGAATATTGGTTAGTTAGCTCACTTAATTATGATGAACCTGACCCAAAATTTTGGGGCCTTGCAAAAAACAGTAAAATCTATAAAACATATCTACGTATTCAGAAAGGATCGATAAATTTTTTTGATTAAGTCTTTGACAATCAGTGATTATCATTTTATCTGCCTGATAAAAAATTCGATGAAAAAAAAATAAAAACTAGACAAAAAATTTATTTTTACTACTGTTTGTTATTGCATTCTTGATTTTACAGATGTACATGCTCATTTATAAGTTTTTTTTTTTTTTTTTTACTAAACCATGAATAAGTCATACGGACCAATCAATTTCAAGACTTTGCGTACAGAGGCATTCATTCCTAGTACCTATCTTTTAAAGTATTGTTTGGGGTGCTACACAAGGTCACGATGAAGGATATTCCAATCATATGCTAAGAATCGTACACATTATTTAACTCTTAAGTAAATCATACCCTATGTATTTCATACTCCATTCCTGGTAAATTAAGATTAAGATTGAAGTTAGGTTAGTATTAGTATAAGAAAAAATATAGGTAAAATTGTCTTTCTGAAAATTTTAATTAGTATTCCAAGACAGGTTTAGAATGTTGTTTTTCATCTTTTTGCATTTCTTTATTTTTTGTCAACTTCAGACTGATCTGTGTAAACAAAATTTCATAATTCTGATTGGTTGATTTATATAAAAAAGTTATATAGGTATATGGCTTTAGACAGTTCTTATTTAAAATAGTTGGCTAAAGTGGAGTTAGTTTTAGAGTTATCTTTTTGATGCAGTTAGTGTTAGTAGAGTTATATAGAATATCAAAAATATAATTTATACCTTATAAAAAATGGTGCACAGAATTTCTGATCAAACATGAGTACATAACAGTACAAGAATATACAAAACTATATGAAATATAACATGGGATAGTGCACAGGAAAATGTGCACTGGACACATAAAAAGGCATGAATTACATGCAATAGTGCATGTAATGGCATGCTTTTTTAAGTGCTTTCCTATGCAATTTTCCATATAGTTACATATGTAGCTGTTTATTATTTTGTGCACATTCCATGCATATAAAAAAATTTCGTGCAATTATGTGTTCGTTGATTTTGTTTGTATGCAGATTCTGTGCTTTGGATGTGCTATATTTTGTGCAGTCATATACAATTGCATGTAAAAATTTCTTATAGTGATACAGTATGTAGCTGACTTCTATTTAGGCCTATTATTAACTATAAAATGTCTTATTTATTGAATACCCCTTACTTTTAGACTGAAATATGGGTCAATTAAAGCAGAATGAGTTTTAGTGATACCTTTTTGATGCAACTATGGTTTGTAAGTTATATAGATATCAAGAATAGAATTTATGCAGTATATAGATCATATATTGAATTTGTCTGTCATTAAACATTTTGACCAAACCTTCTAGAAATTTTTTATTGTATCTGGGTTGCATTTATATTTTTTTATTATATGATCTCTAATAAAGCATTATTCACCTTTGTTTTGATTGTTTGTTTAATACTATTATTCTCGCTCAGATCTATTTATTTGAAGAAAAAACACTATAGGAAGTGTGCCACACTGTGGCTCTTTATTATATATGTGTCATCATATTTCATTTAAATAATTATAAATAACTGTGTTACATTGTTTGTGAAATGTTATACTAAGATCATGTAATGAAGATTTATGAGAATCAAGCATGTGTATGATATGCCATGTTTAGATGGTAGCTCACATTAAAGTGCAGCACATCAACAAGGTGTAAAGATAGGTGTAAAGATAAGTGTAAAGATAAGTGTAAAGATAAGTGTAAAGATAAGTTTCATTGGGTGTTGGAGAGCAAGTTACAAGGCAGAATTATAATTATCATCTTCTTATTTCTCTTCTTTCTTGCTCTTTTTTTTTTTTTTGTAAGCATGTCCCCAAGCATCCCATATTTACATTCAGTTTGTTCAATTTTGTTTTGCTTTTCTTCTTTCCTTTCTTTTTTTTTTTTTTTTTTTTTTTTTAAAAGGGAGGGCCAGGAGGGACTACAGCATAAAAGAGCTAAAACAAAGTTGAGCAGTGAAGAAAAAAGGCACTGCTGATTCTAAGTTTCACAATCTCTCTTTTATATAGTTATTCCTAGTTCTATATTGTTTTGGGTTGGTCCAGGGGCGATCCTTGCAATAATAACCTTAGCATGACTATTAGCATTTGTCAGGTCATTATTCTCACTCAGATCTATTTATTTGAAAAAAAAACACTATGGAGACAAAAAGAGAATTATAAAAAAGTGCTCATAAATGTTACAAAGAAAGTTTTTTTTTTTTTTTTCCTCTAAGACTATTCCATGTTGTGATATTTATAATAAGAAACATTCATGTCTTTTACTTTCAATCTCGATTTACCTTTTAATCAGTTACTATTATTATTATTATTTTTATTATTTATTTTTTTTTTATTTTTTTTTTTTTAGAAACCTATTTTTGCTGATGTGTTTTGTATTGCTGTGGAAAGGAATCAGAGATATAATGCGCACTGACTGTGACAACCATCCACCTATGCTCATAATCTGCGGCAACATCAAACCTGCCTTCATTGCACCAGTTGCATCAATGATTTGTAAGCTATGTCCAGAGTATCTTCCGTCCAATTTAGCATGATTCACCATTCTTTTAATGGCTGCATTTACAGTTCCTGTTGTCATACGTTTCCCTAATGCATTCAGAAATAGTGGTCCTTGGTTTTTGACCTTCCTACTTTTCTTTAGATATTTATAGACCAACCTTACAGGCCAATATGGTGAATTCATAGAGTCTACAGGGATAAATTTCCCTTTTGCAAGTTGGTCAGTTTTGGACCTATTTATTCTGACTCAAAAGAGACCTTTATTCATCTTTATGTCTGCTACATGAAGATTACACAATTCAGCAGGTCTTCTCATAGTGTGAACTCCCAGTGCAATCATAGCACAATTGCGTCTTCAGATCAGTTTTGTAGCATTTTGGGGTAGGTTTTCCATATAGTTATGCAAGGCTTCTACTGGAAAGAGGTCTCGTGGCCATGCGGCCTCTTTATCCATTGCTGCAAGTCTCATTTGGTTGCAAGCTAGCCATTGAACATTGAAGTTTTGAGTTGGGTCTAGAAACCCTATCCTACAGTGGTAATAGCTAATGGCCACCAAATATAAGCATAGCTTTAAAGGTTTTTGTAACATGCCCAACCAAATCAAAAACATCAATAGCAAGTCAGAGTGGGCTAGGTACAGGCATATCTGATGACTTATGCAAAAGGTTACAAAATTTTCCCACAGCCTCATGAGATGTTTTTCATATAACAATTTAGGTCCTATTTCTTTGTGTGCTTTGGCAAGCAATGTTTCTAAAAACAGACTTTTACTGTCTGAAATTTCTAATGAGGGTTCTTCTATGGTTCTGGTGGTATGTTGCTCCATGGGTTTGGTAAAAAACACTCTACTGCCAGTGGCAGGTTCATTACTTCGGGTTGTTTTTGCAGAAGAATTGGCCACCATGTGGCTGATGGCTATACTGGTAATATCATGGTCACCTCTGCTTGAAATTGAATTTATGCTCAAACACTATCTGAATTAAACTTAATAGAGAGCATACATAGTTGTTTTCGTAGCCTTAATTTTGAGTAAAGTAGTTTATTTTTTCTGCTTCAGGGCAGAAAAATCGACTGTTAAAGCGTGCAACTTTTCTCATTCGGTAGCTTGCCATTTGTTTTACTGTAAACAGTCCCCACTTCATGTTTATTTGTGTAAATATGTCTTAGGTTACTTCCCAATCAGATTTGTCGAAAAATTGGATTAGTTCGTCTGCTAAATTTAATTTTGAGGGCACCTATTGAAACTCATGGATTTGCACATTGTACTCATCACAAAATTCTCAGACATTGTGCATTATTTCTTTCTGCCATAGCCATTTTCCTCCTGATTCTATTGTTTTTCAAGCTATGTGGTTGTCTATGAATATAGTAACCCAGTGGTTTGCAACTATATGAGAAAATGCTTCAAGGTCTAGTAATGCTGCCATTAATTCGAGGTGAGCAATATCTGTGTGCTAGTGATGGTGGTTCCAGTTACCGAATGCTCATATTTCTCCCAGGGTTGCAAACCAACCTATTGTTGAAGTGTCTACATATATCGAGATTATCTGAGAAGGTTTCAAAGCGGGACATCCATTCTTTGTCCTTATATTTTTTTGCATCCATTTTATATCCATAATCACTTGAGGTGTTAGTTGTACAGGTTTGTCTTATTTCCATGGTCTCTGATTTTCCATATCGATTATTGAGTAAAGCTCCATACAACTGGTTTTTGCATATGCAAAGGCTTGGTTTAAGCACATTATCTGGTCTACTACAAATGATAGACATTGTGTAGTTAGGAGGTTCACTGATAAAAGGCTTTGGAGGTTTGTTGATGTGGTATTTATCTTGGATTCTGGTGCCACCACTTGTCCTAATACTGTATTTAAAACTAACTCATAATACTTTGGTTGTTGGGTTGGTTTTGGATGTTCTTTATTGGCCAAAATGAATTCACAATTTTTTAAGTCCTGAAATATTATCGAGTCTCTTATTTGGATCAAGGTTTCTCCGCATGCATGGGCAATCCAAATGTTATTGAGGTGGTTCCTACAAAAAACTCCCAATGCTCTCTAGTGACATATTAGTGGTCTCATTATTTTGGCAAAGGTCTATACCGCTAGACTTAGACCAAATGATAGGACTTGATAGTAATACCAATTTTTTTCCACTTTGAATCCTAATAGTCTTTGAGCTTTCTGATCCATTAATATATAGTAGTAGCCCTCCTTTAAGTCTAAAACTAAGACCCACCAATTTCTTTCTGTTATTCTTAAAAATGTTTCGAACCCTTCGAATCTGAATAATTTTTTTGAAAGTATTCTGTTTAGGCATCTGAGGTCAATAATCAGGTGCCATTTCTTTGGGCCAGGTTTGGGGGTCAAAAATATTAGGCTTACTTCGAACAATTGTGGTGGTCTGTTTGGCGAGTTTGAGATTCAGGCTATCACTTTTATCCTTAATAATCTCTTTATTTCTAAATTTAGTCAAATCATTTGTTTCTTTGTTAATACATATTGAAATAGGTCTGATTGTAGAGTTAGAGTTAATAACCCTTTCAGGTACAACAGAATCTCATTTTTAACCAGCTTAAGACTAATTTTGGTGCTTGAATTTTTTGTTCCCAATAACTTCGATGTACTAGAAAGTGTAACTGCCCTATGACTGATATCTCTTGCTGGGCCTGAGTGTAGTTAATCATGTTTATTATCGTTACAGAGTCCTGAATATTTATTTCTATAGGTTGTGTAACTTTGTGAATAGTATTCGAAATTTCTCTTCTGATGTTGGTTGGTATTTTTGTATAGGTCTGAAGGGCATGAGTTGGCAAAATAATCTGAACCCCCACAGGTATAGCATCTATTTGGAGCTTTATTGCAGGGTCAGTAAGTTGCATGAAAAAACTGTCCTTGACTATAAGGAGAGTAAAGACGATTATTTTGATAACTAGTAGAAATGTTATTTGGATAATGATTTTAATAGTTAATTTTGCTATATAGATTATTGAAGCTTTCGTTTGGCCTATTGTTTTTCTTCATTTATTTTTCTTGGCATCTGCAATGGTTCTTGCTTTCTCTATTTCTGATTTTTTCCCTTTTAGAAATTTATCCTAGGTGTTTGGTAATGTGGCAGCTAGAGCTTACGGATTCTTTATTCAAATAATATTTGAATAATTTAAATAAACAAATAGCTATTTGAATATTAGTCAAATAACTAATATTCAATGAATATTCGAATAAATATAATTATTCGAATAAATATTATTATTCAAATAAATATTATTATTCAAATAAATTTAATTATTTGAATAATAATTATTATTCGAATAATAATATATATTTGAATAAATAATATATTTAAATATGATTATAAGAAAAATGCATTTATAAGATTCTATTGAATTTTACATTAAATAAAGATCATATTTATATTAATGCTACCTTTTTTTAGTAATTATTTTGAATGAAGCTTGTATTATACATTTTAAAATTTATCAGTTATACTCTATTACCAATATTAATCGATTTGGATAAAAAAAATTATAACTTGCTTTATAAAGCTGATATAATATTAAACTAATTTTATTGAATAATAATATAGTAACTGTCTAATCTTGAGTTAGAGATAGTTTAGCAGAAATATTATACTAAACAAATAGGCTAAAACAAGTTTTAAAAATCAAAAAAAAGGCTTGTCTTCAATTTTAAGACTGAACTAGTATCAAAAAAGTATAGATACAGATGTATGCCAATATTATAATTGATATTAACATCAATTAGATATAACTTAAAGACATAATAATATGGGGTCTTTGTCTTGAAAATAACCTTACGATATCATATACCATAAGGTCATTTTTAAGACAAAGACCCAATATGTTAAAAAATCATAACTAACATTTGTCATAACATCTGATGTATACTATAATATTTGTATTGTAATATTTGATCTAATGTTGTTAATTTGCTATGTATTCAAATAAATAAACTTTGCTAAGAAAATGTGATATAAATTTTATAAACTTGAATGCTTATTATAAATATTAGAAGATAGGTAGTGCAACAAGTATAAAAACTTTGTAGAGTTTCACATATAAACAAAAGAGAAATGCTTTTAGTTAAAAGCACTTAGTAGAGACTACAAAAAGTTAGCTTACCCAAATAACTGGCCAGAAAAACTAATCCTTAGCTGGTCTTCTCAAAACTTATCCAATCCTAATTACAACCTATACTAAAATTTTACAAGAAATCTTTTTGTAAGAACTCTACAAATGGGTTTTATAGTTAAAATTTTAAGATATTGACATATTCATATGTATATAAATAGTAGGTACTATATATAAAATATGTCAATTTTAAAGCAACATTACTACACAATTTTGTATACTAATTTAAATATATTGATTTTATAAAATGATTTTTATTATTATTATTTAATACTACTTATAGTAGTTTTTATAAAAAATAAAGTTTTAAAATAAGATCCTAAATACTATAGGCAATACTAAATAATATATAATATAGTATATTCAAATTTTTTAACTATATATATCAATTCTAATAGCTATTTATCTTATTTATCTTTGGGTTTAAAAACATCAAATAACTTCATATTTCTTTTTAAAAATAGCATAGATGCTAATAACTCAGGTTTTAAACAAGTACGATGAGCAGATAAATAAGGAACAGCATCAGAGAATAATCTCTTGCTTGGTACAGAAGTGGCAGGAATTGCTAAATACTTTATTGCTAATCTATACAAAACTGGAAAAACATTAATACAATTCTTTCACCATTCTAATATATTATATTTTGGAGCTTCTTTTGGCAAAGTTAAGTATCGAACAACTTCATTAGACATATTATCATTATTATCATCTGAATCTTCATATATTTTAAACAAAGAATAATTAACTTGATCAATATTAGAAAATTCATTTGTAGCTAATGATTCAGATAGGTCAACAAATAAGCTATTATTTGATTCTTCTAGAATAATAGCTTGTTCAATTCGATATAATTCATTTAGTTTATCAATTACTACATTACATTGTTGTTCTGTAACAAATTTAAGTTTTTTGTGTCGAGGATCTAACAATGCTAAAAGTAAAGTAATTTCTTTTGGAAAATCCCAATATTGACACATATTTAAATAAATAGCAGCTTTTATCTTTTTTAAAACACCTTCAGTAGTATCAGGTAACTTAATAGCATGATGGTTTTTGAATTGTAATTGTTGATTACTGACTGTATCTTTATTATCACTACTTTCATTTAATTGATCTTGGTTTGTAATTTTATTTAATTTATCCAATGAATTTGTATTATATTCTTCATCTTCATCTTCAGGCAGAGTTACAGTTTTTTTAAGATAGTGCATTGTACAGATAACCATATTTAGTGTAGCATATATAACACTTGATAACATTTTGGTCACTTCATAAAAAGGTGCCAGCAAAGTTAATATGTCAGAAAGTAAACTACAATAATAATATAGTTTAGTTTATTTATATAATTATTTTGATATTTTAATTAATCATATACTATTAAACCTCCAAACTAATTCTATTACTATGCTTTTTAAATTACTGTAATCAGTAATTTTTATATATTATATGAGTGCTGCCAAGAGAAAACCTGTCATCGGATATTTAATTTTATTTTGTATACAGTTAGCCATCTATAGAAAATCTATTATAATATATTTCTACAGATGGCTATCTATATATAAAATACAATTTAATGTCTGATGATAGGTTTTCTCTTAGCAGCACTTATATAAGTGCTGCCAAAAAAAAAGTGATATAGTAGTTTTTTAGTAATTCAGCTCTTCTAATCTGACATATATTAGACTTTAACAAATTTTTAAAAATTATAATTAATATAAGTGCCACTAAGAAAAAACCCACATTCAGGCTTTCAATTATATTTTATATACAGTCAATCTCCTGAGTGCTGTCTAGAAAAAATCTACTATTGGGCATTCAATTATATTTTTTAATAAGTTGTCACAAAATATAATTAAATCCCAATGATAGATTGCTCTAGGAGACCAACTATACACAAAATATAATTGAAAGCCCGAATGTAGGTTTTTTCTTAGTAGCACTTATATAATCTTTGAAGTTTTTAAAAGTCCAATATATACCAGATCAAAAGGGCTGAATTACTAAAAAAAATTACTATATTCTTTTTTTTTGGCAACCTTATATACTATAAAAAATCTAAAAATAAAGAAATTTTGCTAATTTCTATATAATAAATGATTATAAGTAAACTCAATATATATTAGTTTAGAGAGGTTTAATTTTTTTTAATATTATAAATTAAAATTTACCTTTATTCTGAATTCATTAAATTAATTTGTTCCAAATAGTCAGCATCATCTCTATTACTTTTTTCTGAAGAAATTTTTAAAACTGTACCAAGTTAGATTATAGCATTTTTTAATTCAAGCAAATAACACCATGCAAGATAAGTGGAGTTCCATCTTGTCTTAATATCTATAAGAATTTTATATATTTTTGGGTAATTTAATTTACATTGTGTGTTTTTAAGGTTTTCAGTTTGTTTAGTACTACCATAAAAGAACAAAATAAGATTGGTTATACGCTTTTTAAATGGTTTAGCTATATTAAGACCTTTTAAAACACTAAGATGTAAAGTGTGTGCAGAACATGGCACATGGGAAATATCTATTAATCGAATTGCCTTCACAACATTTGCACCATTATCTGTAGTGGCAGCAACTAATTTTTGTTTAAGTTGAAACCGATCTATAATTTGGACTATAGTGTCTTGGATATTTTCATCTGTATATCTTCCTTTGATTTTTTCACAAGCCAATAACCCTTCTTTTAATGTCCAATTCTTGAGATCTAACCATCCAACTGTAATACCAATATATGGCTTATCTGTACGTGATGACCATAAATCTGTAGTAATACAGACAGAACGAATATCATGCAATATTTTAGTAAGTTGATTGGTTGATTGAATATATGCATCATTTACTATATGTCATTCTTTATTATCACCCAGAAGTTTAAAGCCAAAAACTGCTACTTTCATAAATGTTTTAAAAGATTCTGTTTGTAGAAGATAAAATAGTTGACAATCATCAATCATCCAAGTCATCATAGCAGTTTCAATTTCTGTTTGTTTTTTGAGCATAATTTTTCCACAAGCAGCTTCCATAAAAGTTTCAATATTTCTATCTGCAATCTTAATTTATTAGTAGTTTTAGTTTAGTTTTTTTTTTTATAATAGTTAATTATAGTTAATTAAAAAAAACTTACATGACCAATATGATTATTTTTTGTAATTTTATGTTCACTATCTAGATGATATATCATATTGCTTGTAGTGCTATAAAATTTGTACTTTATGCATTTTCCTTTTCTTTTACATATTTCACATTCAGCATAAATTTTATTTTCTAAAACCTTAAAATAACTCCATATAACTTCTACTTCCACTATGTGAATTTGCAGTATCAAGTTGAGTTTCTTGTTCTTGATCACTAGTATTATTATCTTCTACATGTGTATGTTTTTGAATATTATTGCATTTATCTTTATTAACTATGTTTGACATTTTTTTAAAAAAAAAGGATTTGTAATAAACCCAAAATCAATGTCGTATAATTTGATTTTTTTTTAAAAAAAAAAAAACAAGAAGGCTTGTAATAAACTTTATAGAAAATTAAAATCGTATAATTTGATTTTTTTTTTTTAAAAAAAAAAAAAATGCTTGTAATAAACTTTATAAAAACATGGTATGATTTTTTGGAGGGCCTGTACATATGCTTATATTTAAGTATATAATTATTTATATGCATATGCTATTAAAGGTTTGTCTTGTATAAAATACTGTACTATTGTTATAGATTGATTTTTTTTATTTAATTGCCAAGTGTACAAAATTTTAAAGCTTAATGAAAGTTGATAAAAACTTGATGAAAACTTGATAAAATTATTATTATCAATTAACTAATATATCTAAACCCATTTAGGAATTACTAATACATACAGTATAAATAATTCAAATTATAATAATAAGTACTGCTACTGCTGTCATCAAAGATCTTGATCTTTTGTTGAGTTCCATCCAGATAATATATATGCTTGTGGGCTTAATTCATTAACATACAATATAAGTAAGATCACTTTTTTGTTTTACTTTTGTTTGCAATATTCTTTTCAACTTGATATTAATAACACCTCTACCATTTTCAAAACATATATTTTTTTATGGCTCTTACATTGTATTTTTATTGAAAAAAAGAATCTAATTTACTAATTTACTAATTCTAGCTTTTTTATATAATTTTTGAAATAAACTTTGCATTATCTTATTGTTATACCAACTTCTATTAACTTATGAATTCTTCTTTAGAATTTTATATCATTTTAAGATTTGCGCACAACAGCTATTTATATAAAAAGAGTATCTTACAAATTAAGAAATTAAATGAAAATTAAAGAATTTTCATTATCTATAATATAATTTCTTAGTCGACTCATCAACT